CCAACTGCTGTCGTTGATCCTAGATTAAGGGTATTTCTTTGATAAAATGCACTAGATAGTATTTATACGTTTGCTTATATATAATAAGCAGTATTACATGTGTTTATAAATTTATATTCAACTTTTTGCAGGTCATTGGTATTTCAAACTTACGAGTAGTGGATGCGTCCATCATGCCCGAAATTGTATCGGCGCACACAAACATACCGGTTTATATGATTGCCGAGAAAGCAGCAGATATGGTCAATGAAGATTGGGATTATTTAAAAAAATCTTAAGAATAATAAACTTTCATAAGGGAAATAATAAATCATTTTATTATATTTAAATAATAAATTATTATATTTAAATATTTATTATATATAATAATAAATAATAAATCATTTTATTATATTTTGCTAGCACATTTTTGCGGACAATACCAACGTACGTTGATGTGCTATTTATGGAATGTCTTTAAAAAAACAATTATATTTAAATAAAAAATCAAGTATTAATTAATTTACGTTGTAAATGTGAAATGTATACGTATGTGTAAAAGGAAGTATTCAAGAAAATATAAAAACATTAATTGTGATGTAAATTCTAAATTTTGCTGATTAATAAAAGCTTTTTTAAAGAAATAAAATATAGCATTGTAAATATGCGTATATAAGTTGCTAAACAAACGCTTTTGCAACAAATAATAAAGTATCTTAAAGAACAATATTAAACCATCATAAAACTCAATTATTCAAAGCACTTGAAAGTGGAAAGGATCTTCAAATCTGATTGAGCTTCAGTATTATTCTTTGTCTGCAATTCAATTAATTCTCTTACTGTATTACACATCTTGAATAGCTTGCATAGTGTAATACGTATATTTTTAGAGTTTCAATAAATATCAAGTGTTAATATCAAGTATTATTATTATATTAATACTTGATATTAACATTTGATATTTATTGAAACTCTAAAAATATATGCAAGTATTCATATAATAATAATACTTGATATTAACACTTGATATTTATTGAAACTCTAAAAATATACGCATTACACTATGACAGCTATTCAAGATATAAAATACACATTCAAAAAGTATAATACAGTAAGAGAATTAATTGAATTGCAGACAAAGAATAATACTAAAGCTCAATCAGATTTTAAGGGCCTTTTCATGTGCTTTGAATAATTAAGTTTTATGATGGTTTAATATTGTCTTTTAATATACTTTATTATTTGAAAAAGAAGCAGACGAGAAGATGAAATATCCGACAATAAATTAGGCTATTATCTTCCATAACTTTAATCAAATTTACGGCACTTGTAAAATAGGATCTTGCGGAGAGCCGATTGCTGTCGTCGATTTCAGATAAATATTTGCTCGAAAAAATGCACTAGACTATTTGTACAAAATGTAAAGCTGTTTGAACACATGTATACATATATAAGTCTATACATGTATGTTTGCATAATCGGTATTCACAAGGCTACGTTGCAATCCATCATTCTTGAAATAATATCGGCGCGTCTAAACATACCTCTTTATATTGCCGAGAAAGTAGCGGATGTGATCGAAAGAAAATGAGATTGCTTAAAAAAATCATGATGATAATAAATTTTCATAAAATTATAGCATTAATATATTTTTACGAGCACTTTATAATCATACGGAAAGAATTACAACACAGGAAATTGATTTTTATATAATTAATTTATATTAACTTCGCAGAAGTAGGGATACGCCTGTAAATATGATTATATTACTATATGTAGTGTAAAATGTTAAATAAATTATTTAAATAACTTATTAAAAAGAACAAAATAAAATGTTCTAATATTATCAAAAATTAAAATTTTGAATTCGTTTCAAAATTGTAAACAATAAAAAAGAAATAGTAACTTTGAATAGAGTTTACATCTCATTGTTAGAAACATATGTGTGCAGATTGTAAATATGATCAAAGCTACTATTAACATCTATTAATAGCTCTTTATTACAGAATATGATCCTTGAATTACGATATTTTAAGACTTCGTTTATCAAAAGTAACTTTTAAACATCTTTATAAAATAAATGTATTATAATTTCTAATATTACTCTAATTTCTTTGTAATTCAAAAAACATTAAATTACAAAAATGAATTTTATGTCAATCCAAGTATAGCAAAATTATATATCAAAATATATAATTATATTCCAAAATATAGACAAATTAAAAAATAGATGGAAATATTTTCCTTCGAGTGCTATACTAATCGCGCTCTACTAACTTGCTAGAGTACACTCGTTCGATATACTTTCCCTACATATTCTCTTGGCATTTCATTACAATAAGATATAATTGTTATAACATGGCAGATATGTAATCATAAATAACATTTCAATTTACAACAATTAAATAATAAAGAAAATAATTATTATATACAACGATAAATGCTTCTTTTCTTCTTCAAAAAGAAATATGTGTAAGTATAACGCTTTGAAAGTGTAACTTTATTTTTAAAAAGTATATAAAAAAATATTGTAGTATTCTAAGCGAAGAAATGTATATGCACAGAAACGTTGTAGTATATTGTGCAAAATATACGTGTGGCAAGGTCGAAAAACGTTAATGCATTTCTACTGTAATGACGAATGCGTTTGAAAAATTATATGTTATACAATGTACAGTGTCCGCCAAAAGTTCGGAACAACCTAAATACTTTCTGTACTGTTCGAAATATTGGATTGAAATTTGTAGGGTTACAATGGCAAAATATAATCAATCATTTCACCCTGAAAACACCCACGGCATGCGCGAAGCCTTATCTTCCTCATGTTTTCGCCGTGGGCCTCGCCAAAAAACACCATTACTCAAATGAACATAACTGCGAAAAAAATCGTAGAGACCTCAACGA